TTAACTCCCCAGCGGGCAGCGAGCGCTCCGAAGCTCTGATGGGGGACGAGGAATTGCAGAACCCAGTCACGCCGCGAGGACGAAGGCAAGATGCACAGAGAGCCCTGAGCTTTGAAAGCCTCCAAAGGCTCCTCGCTCCCCAGAGATTAAGGGAAGAAAGCAGCCCAAGACCTTTGTAAATCTCAGCTTAAGTTCTTCTGAGAGACTCAAGCTCTTTTCTGCTAAGCCTTGGCCACAGCCAGGACAGGTCACCCCCCCTCCCTGGGACAGCCTAAAGGACAGCACTGAGATGTCCAGCTCCCATCAGTGTGCAGGGCTGGGCAATACGACCCTGAAACGACCGCTGGAAGGATGGGACAGGGAAATTTAAAAATATAGAAATATTCCAGGCTCTCTAGAAAGCCTGGCAGCTCCTATTCCACAGCAGAGGCCGTTTGCTGCTGGTGAAAGCCCCTTGCACAAGCACCAACTGTTTCAAATCAGGCTGTGGCAGCCCCACAGAGGTGCAGGGGGCCAGTCACCTACTGGCTCAGAGCTCAGCCGGTAGCCAGCCCTGCTCCAGCCAGCAAAGAGCAGCTCCAGGCATAACAAGAGACCCCCCCGGGGTAGATCCTTCTCCCCCCTCCCCATGTTACCTGCCGTGCAGGTCTCCTCCTGGCAGCAGCGCGGGGCGGCTCTCCTCCTCCTGCGCCCAGCCGCAGTTGGACATGGCGTAGTGCAGGATGGCCTCCGTCACCGTCTGCGAGCCCTGGCCCTGCACACACGCCTCGATCTCGGGTACCGAGAGCTGGCTCTGCAGGAAAAGGTGCAGGCGGCTGTCGGAGAGGAGGACCACGTTCTGCACAACCCTGCGTGCACAGGGAGAGAGAGAGAGAGAGAGAGGAGGGTGAGTGAGGCAGGAGCGCAGAGCACGCTGAGCCCTGCCCCACACACCCCACAGCACCAGGGGGACCATCGACAGCCCCACAGCCAGCATCTTCTAAGCAAGGCTGGAGCAGTGGAGTCATGGCATCACAGAATGGTTTGGGTTGGGAGGCACCTTCAGCATCTAGTTCCAACCTCCCTGCCACCTCCCACCAGATCAGGTTGCTCAAAGCCCCATCCAGCCCGGTCTTGAAATTTCCAGGGAAAGGGCATAAAAACGAAGTCCTCTCATCAAGGATGCATTGGATATTAAACTGATGCTACACATGGTTTCAGCCAAAAGGCCGAGAAGCAGCCTCTCCCTCCAGCCAGCCCTCGGGAAGGCTCTACTCACTTCTCCAGGAACTGCTGCAGCCCCTGTCTCCGCTTCTCGATGAACTCATCCGTGCTGCCCACGAAGAAGGTGGATTTCCCAGGCAGCTCTGGGACAGGCCTGTGGGCACAGAGCAGAGACAGCCCTTCAGGGGCAGATCACCCCAGCTCCAGAGCAAGGAGACACAGGGGACACCATGGCAGCAGCAGCAGCAGCCAGGACCCTGCTTTGAGCTCAGGTCTCCCGTGTGAGCGTCTGGTGCTTCTATCCACATCAGTTCAGGGAGGATTTGGGATCCCCAGGGCAATGGAAAACAGTGTTTGGCTGTGGGCAGGGAAAAGGAGGGAGCACAGGGCATGCTTACACCAAGCCAGCATTCTTCTGGAGCTGCTTCTTCAGCCACACGAATTCACGGTACCGGCGCCGCACGCATGAGGTCTTGGCAGTAAAGGCTTTGCTGTTGGTCTGCAGAAAGAAAAACCCATGATGGAAATAATCCACATGATGAGAGGCAGCGAGGCAGAGGAGGGCAGGATCTCACCCACACAGATCCCTGAGCTCAGTGCCTGAGGGATTCCCTCAAAGCATCAGACTTTGGGGAGCTGAAAGTGCCTTAAAGACCTGAGCAGGCTCCACAGGGGAGAAGTTGGGTCTCAGATACGCAGAAATTAAGTGCAGAGAGAGGGATGAGTGTTCCCCTCTTCATCCCTCCTTCCATCCCGGCTCAGCACAGCCAGACACGGCCTGACAACTCCTCTCACGAGCCTCGTGGACCGAGCTCTGCAGCAAAACCCCCCTCCCTCAGCCACAACTCACGTGGAGGAAGATTTTATAATCCACATAGGAGTTCCAGGAGCCTTCGTTCTGCACCCGGGGGTCCTGAACTCTTCATCCCTCCTTCCATCCCGGCTCAGCACAGCCAGACGTGGCCTGACAACTCCTCTCAAGAGCCTCGTGGACCGAGCTCTGCAGGAAAACCCCCCTCCCTCAGCCACAACTCACGTGGAGGAAGATTTTATAATCCACATAGGAGTTCCAGGAGCCTTCGTTCTGCACCCGGGGGTCCTGAACACGCACCGTGGTCAGCTCCTACGGCACAAAGGCTGCCTGAGCCCCCCATCAGCATCACCCCCTCGATCTGCCCCACGGACCCTGCCCGACGTGCAGCACCTCTCACCCCTCCAGCCAAGACCACCCCACTCCAGAGCCACCAAACCCCGGCCAGGAACAGACTTAGGGTCAGAAAGGGTCTTACCTCTTCTCGGTTCTCCAACATCCTAGAGCCAGAGCCCAGCGGGAAACATCTGTACAGAGGGAGAAAAAAAAAAAGAAAGAAAGGATTTAGTAAGACAAGATCAACACATCGGGGTCTCCCACATACTCTGCATCCCCCCAGGCACCTCACACCTCTCTGCCATCCAGCAAGCATCTCTCCAGCCCCCAGCTGCCCTCCCTCCCTGATTCTCTACCCTCAGTCACCACAAAATAAAGAGGGTGAATTCAAATCCAGCAGCCCACGGGGGAGAGAGCAGCCAGCATTAATGCCCCGTGTGCTCCTGAGGCAACGTGGCCCATCGGGCTCTCCGTGGGGGATGCACCGTGACCAGAGCCATCTCCTTCCCCCACGGCTCATCCTCAGGCCAGCCCTGCCCAGAGAGATCCACCAGGATCCTGCAGGATTCTCGCTCGAAAATCCCTGGATCACAGACAGAGGTGAGAAGGGCCCCCAGCTCGGAGGGGCTGGAGCCACCTGAGGGTGGGCTGGGGCAGCCCTGCCTGCCCTCCTCTCCCACAGCTCCTCCCTGCTCCTGGGCAGGTCACGGAGTCTCTGGGGGAGCCAGACACAGCTCTGAGAGCACTTTTCCCCACCTTATACCTCCCATTAGCCAGGAACAGCCTCCTCGTTGCTCAGTGCCGAGCCCCCAGCATCCCAGTTTGCTCCTGCAGAGCCAGAACTGGAAATGTGGGAGGGAGACGGGGTGGAAGAGCCTGGCCCAATCCCCGCAGGGGCAGGTTTGTGCTGAAATGCCAGGGGAGGAGAAAACCCTGCTTTTATCACAGTTTCCTTCTCCTACAGACCTCCCTCTCCCCCAGCACAAGCTCAGCTGGGCCACCAGCTGGGGAAGCCACCAGCCCACACCAGGACACTGCTGCACCCCCCGCCAGAGGAAACCTGCTTTTGTCCTGTGTAGCTCAGCCCCATTCCTCAGCTGCCCCATTAGCACCAGACACAGAAGCTCCGTTTCTTTCTGGCTCTTTCACAAGAGAATTTCACCTGAACAAGCAGCAAACTCGGTACCAGACTTCCCCACCCAGCCAGGTTTTGTATCTGTGACCACTCTCCTTTGCACCCCCTTCCCCTTCTCCCAGTGGGATCTGGGGGGGGGGCAACGAGCATTGATGAAGACCTTGGGGACCCCCCAGAGGTGCCTGGTGCCCCCCAGTGCTCCTGGCTCAGCCGTGCCAGGAGCTGCTCACCCGCTCCCATCACATCCAGCCTCTTCCTCCCTCCGGCGCTCCCAGGTCCTGCCGGACCCTGTCAGCTAATTTGCTGCACCATGACGTGCTCCTGCAGTAATTCCTGCTCTGCAACAGCACCAGGAACACAGTGCCAGGGCTTGGAGGAAAAGCAGGGGGGGACAGCAAGATAACTTCCCCCCCCCCCTCCCAGGCACTCTGTGCAGACACAGACCAGGAGCCCTCGTCAGGGGGAGCTGGAAGACCGAGCGTGTCCCGTGTCCTGGTTTCACCTCCTCTCGCAGGGATTGTTTGCAAGAGGGTTTTTGGAGCCTCTGGGATGAAACCGGCAGGGCAGGGACCTCGCCTGTCCCAGCCCGGGCTCCCCAGGGGGAGGCAAAGCAACCCTTCACCTGTTCCCCATTCCTGGAGCTTTGCCTTTTAGGCCACGAGAGCTGCCAAGTGCCAGGCAGCGCTGGAAGCCCGGCCTTTATTTATACGCTCAGATGCGAAGCGAAGCTCTTCTGAAGACAGGAGCTAATTTTAGCTGGGACGAGGGGAGGGGTTGAGCCACAGACCACGCTTTTAAAAAAAACCAATCTGGCTCCACCGGTTCACAGGTACTTTCTGCAAGATTTCAGCTGCCCGATTCCACCCGGAGAGCACAGAAATCGTTAATAACAGCGGAGGAGAGTTTCGGGAGAGACAGCAAGAGACCTGGGCCCGCTGCAAGATGTCTCCCGAGTAATTGAACTCTCGCTGGTGTTGGGTCAAGGCTGCTGCTGTTTCCAATTTGAGCGGCGAGGGGGAGGGCGAGGGGAACCTACCGAAATAAACCCCACCCCACGCTTCAGCGCACATGATTCTTCCCCTGGGGAAGGAGGGGAGAGAAGGAGCCAAATGTGACATGAGTCACTTCGCTCAGCGCCGTAATGGGGCAGCTCCGGTCCTCCCCCGTGCTGGGGGCTCCCAGCCAGAACCAGTTCAGCAGCAGAACTTGACCATTATGTTCCTCGGCCTCCCCAAGGGACGCTGCCGCCCTCCCGTTGCTTTTAAAGCTCCTTGCTCTGCAGAACAGCCCTGCCGAGATTAAAAATGCAGGAGGGAGAAGAGAGAGGCTCAGAAATTGCCTAATGGAACAGCGGAGGGTTGCCAGGAAGAGGAATTTAATTTCCCAGCTACTGAAAGGGTGCTCCGAAGAGCAGAGAGATGGCTCTTTGCATCAGGGAGGAGGCAAACAGACTGGAGGAAAAAAAAAAAAGCAAACAACCAAACCCTGAGATGAGAGAATCCAAGCACTCCCATCCCTTACCTATACTTTCACCCAGAGTTCTACCAAGGAACAATCTCATTTACGCTTTATTTGGAGCTAATTGATCTTAACTTGATAAACCAACTTAAACCCCACGGAGAAAGCAGCTCCGAGTTCGTTTTAAACAGTTACACCAAATCCTCTTTCAGGGCTTTTGCTCAAAGCCGCAGTTTAAGGGGCCCTGGGATACATGGTTTGGGTTTGGTTTAATCTTCCTCCAATTTGCATTTCAGTGTTCCCAGGGCTGGTGCTTTCAATGTCTCCTAGCTAGAAGGACGCCAGAGGTGGAAGCCACACAGAAACGCCCCACATCCGTGCTCCTGGAGGCTCAGGACTTTCTCCTGCCCGGGACAGGGCAGTCTGGGTGTTTAAGGAGCCACAGACAGCGTCCAACACCGGGTGGATTGTATCCCCAAGCCTCTACTCACACTGCTGACACAGAAAGCCTTAGCTTTTCTCTCTTGCGTGCTATCTTTTTATCTTCCTTGCTGACTCAGACGCACCCTTCGAGGTGGTCTCTACCCCTCCGTGACAGCAGGACCTGCATCAAATGCTCTTTCCTACCCAGCACACACCAGTGAGGGCTCAGTCCAGCTGGGAGCTCCCTCCCCAGCTCCGTTCCCTGCCCAGCTCCAGGATGGCTGAGACTTTAACGTCCCCTCTGCCAGGACACGGCAACTTCCAGCCACGAAAAGAGCCACAAGTTCTGAGGAAGCCTCACAGAGGAGCTCCGCGGCAGGAAAAAAAAGAGAACGACTCCCGTCTGCTTCTGCTTTTGCCTGTCACACTCGGACATAGCTGTCTGCAGCCGGGACCGGGGAGGATTTTCTGCAAGAAAAGGGTTTTCTGGCTCCCTCACCCACAGGTGCCCCCAGGGATGGAACCCCCCGCCTCGGCCCAGGCCGCCCACTGACGGGGGTGTCCCCAGCCGGCCCAAAGCCACAGCACATCAACGCCAGGCCCGGCCGCTCCGCCGCACGAACCGTGACCAGGGGCTGGGCCCGGCCCCGCAGCGCTGGGGGTGCGCCCGCTCCCCGAGGCCTCGGCCCGGCCCCGCCAGGAAAGGCCGCGGCGGGGGGTGAGGCCCAGCCCCACCGCCCCGGGCCCAGCCCCACCGCC